GATTTCCGGGGTTTCGAGGTTTGCGTGGGGACCAGAGCCTCGTTCGAGACGCCCATTGAGAGCTGATCCGTCGAGTTACTTGTTATTAGTAGCACAAGCAGCGGAGTGAGGATGAAAGTTATGATTGCGAGTCCGAGGCCAAACACAACAGACTTTATGTTTGAAGGCGGCAGATGGCGCCTATCCTCCGAAAGGATTGCTGGGGATTGTGGTCGCTGAGTGCCTCGTATCATGCGAATATCTGAGTCGAAGAAAGAGCATAAGTTCTCATCTGAATCGATGAAATCGTTCGAGTCCATTGCGAGGTAAGTTACTGGAGGTCTCAAGCCCACTGTGGGCGATCCTGGGCCTCGACTGTTGATACCTTTCCTCTTCGTTGCCAACCCGAGTGGTGTCCACCGTGCTAGATCAAACCACACTGTGATCACAATCGCAACGATCCCTTGTGTCACCAGAGCTGCAACCAGCACATTGGTGGCAGTCCTAGTCTGCTGAATCTTCATGACATTATTCTTTTCGTTGTCCGAGCTCCAACCGAGCTCGTATCGGTGATGGTAGCTTCGTACAGTCACCACATCCATCGCAAAAGTCGCCAGGGAGAGTACGCACACCGAATAGATCACGGCAAACCGCCAGAGCCGCTTGCACACGAGCTTTGTTCGCGACCAAAACGGGATACCTCGTGTGAAGCAGTCCATGCATCCATTCGGTGCAGTGTCATTCCAGCACGAGTGATTGATCGCTGCGTCAAATAAAGAGAGTACCACAACCTCGAAGCTTATCACGACGAAATCCTGCACTATACCCAGCAACACTCCATAGATTCGTATCGGAGTCGTGTCGTCGTCAGGAGTCGTCGAGGTCTTCACGAGAGCGCTGAGGTTGCTCAACCGAAAAGTCGAAAAGAAGCTGAACTCGGTGAGGTATATGAAGAGCCAACCGACCCACGCGTGTCTGTTAATATGTGCGTTAACTGCCACGCTGGTGCTGCGTAGTGCCCATAGAGGGCCAGACCTCATGATATTTGGAAATGTACAAGTGGCCTGAGACTTCATTGGAAGGTTGCGATCCGTGCCAAGAAAGATACTGAGGAGAATCATTCACAAGAGACAAGAGCACCAACCTAGCCGTTGGAAGCACACAGTGGCGTCAGACCCTGTGCAGTCCAGTATTTAAAGGACTCATCTCACCAGAAGCGGCCAGCGACACAAATGTGAAGTGACAGTTCCGCTGGACACACGAAAGTGTTGAAGTAATTCTGGACTGTTAACCACGAGAATCAACCATCGTTTACGCTACAGCGACACACTGGGGGAGGGGGGGGTAGTTGGAATTACACTTCCACATGTCAAGATCGTCTTTCTTGAAAGGTGCTGTCATATCTAATAACCGAACCGTGGTCATGTTTCGTCTCGCAACTCGACGATCTGTTCGACGACCAAGTGTTTCACTTCTGTCAAATGGATGGCGAGTGTCGTGATCAATTAATAATTCACTTGACCTTAGTCCGTGACTCACTTCTAATAAATCACGAAACTCGGTTTTCAATACAGTACATGTAGTTTATAATGCGACGCTTGACCACAGTTCAGAAGGAACCCGCGAGTAGCATTACGAAGGCAAACTTGGCATTTCGAATGTCTTACGTATGCTGCTACACTAGAGCGATTGATCACAACTAGCGGATCGAGACATACGTTGGGATCTTCGACCGAATGATAGCCAGAGCCTCCCTGCCGCCATTACTCTCGAGAACAGCGAGTGTGTCCTCAACTTCGACACGTAATTTCTTGGTCAACAGCTTGCGGTGGATCTGCTGGGTGAGCTTCGAGAGGAAGCTGTTCATCTCACCCTCCACAAGATCCGACAGCAGACGTGTCGCCTCTAGTCCCATGAGGAACGTGTCGTCATCCTTAGCCATTAGTGCTCCTCGCAGCGGCACGATCACTTGAGCCAGAATTGGCAGCGTCTTCTCACGAGCATCTTCTAGCTTCAGAAGCTCGCGGAACGTAGCACGAGCGAGGAACACAAATGGATGCTCCGTTTCCAAGAACCCCTCAACGCACGTAATAAGCAGTGGGTCATACGATAGCGCTGCAAAACCACTCAGTAAGAATAAAGTAGTTTGGCAAAAATATAGTTAGTAGCCCAACCTACTGTTGGGATCCTTGGTCCATTGCAAAGAATTGCGGATACTGCCGTGGTTGATTCGACATGGAATCGATCCGGAGTCATATGCGTTGGAAAAATTCCTGTCATATCATGGGAGCTATATAACTGTCGCCGATTGAATGAATAGGATTTGAATGCAGGCTTACGTCTTGTATTTCTTCCTTCCAGAGGTGAAAACGGAGGCCTGCTTATGCTTGTGCAACGTCGACGAGGGTAGTGGATGTGCAGTCGCTGGTTTCTTCTCTTCGGTTGCTGGGGATGCAGATGCACGTGTTGACGATTTGGCTGAGGACGGAGTTGGCGTACGTTTGGATAGTTCCACGGTTTTCTGGTTGGAAATGGTGGTGGGTGTTGATGACCGTGTCTTCTCTCTGGAGCTGCTGGAGCGCGATTGACTCGACCGACTGTCACTTCTGCTCCCTACGTTATTGTTACTGCTGCTGCCTTCTGTCTTATTGATCTTGGAGTTGTTACTACGATCAGTAGCTGTCTTGAACGCCACAATTGGGGCCATGCTTACTGAGCTTCTCTTCCTTTGTGCGGGTGGTTGTTTTACGAAAAACAAGCAATCTATCTCGATTCTTCCTCGCTATTCATAGAGCCGAGTCATCCCCCCCCTCAACGCTCTAGAGGAATTATAGCAAAATAGAAGGCCACCCACCTTTCATCATCATCGTACAGAAAGCTAATCTCATCAATATTCATACTTAAGTGCACACGAAGCTAAGTCTATTCAAAGACAATCCCTTATAAAAGGCAACAGAGCCGATTCATAGGTTCCACGAGCGATAGTAGTAAAATTCCTCGTCTGCTGTGTCGTAATAGCTGACCCATCCGCTGCCGTCGGGTTCCGAGTTGGCGAAGTGTTCCTTCAGGACCAACTTGACGTTCTTGCCGCGCTCACGTTGCGTGATCTTGAGGCGGAAGTTGACTTCGTTGCAGTTAGTCGGCACCGTCACGACCAACTCGTCCTTATCGACGTAGAATCGGCCACTGTAAACGCCCTTGCGTTGGCTGCGGATGTGCGATTCGACCTCATGCGGGGCCTTGAACAACATGCCGTACAGCACCGTCCCGTCCCGTTGGAACGAGAAGTAGCGGTAGTAAATGCACTTTAAGATCGTGCCGGGGACGATCTCCGACCACATACTCAGCTCCGGTTTCTTGTAGTACGACACCTTGAGCCAATAGAAGCCGTTGTAGCGCACACGTGGCCTGTCCTGGAACATGTCGAACCACGTCGGGAAGCGACGCAGCCCAAACTTGTTGCGAGCAGCAGCAGCTGCAGCCCTAGGGTTCTGTACGGGAAAAATACGTCGACAGAGCGCTTCAAAGAGCACTTCAGACCGTGCTACCTGCAGCAATCTCTTGCATGTGCATGTGCAGGCTCCGATGGTGTCTTCGTCCAGCCACTTAAGGATGTCGATGAGCAGGATGTCGGCGAAGTTCAGGAGCGTGTGATCCTCATTGGGATCTTCATCTTCCTCCTCCTCCTCATCGACGTCAACAGATTCAGGGGGCTTCTCCGTTGCTTCAGAGATAGAAAGTCGAGTATATCGACCCGTATCTACGCCATGCTCGTCATCGTCTCCGCTGTCTACTTCTTGCTGGTTTTCTTCCGGTTTTTGGTCGCTGGAGCTTGTTCCAAAATTCAATTGACCTAATCGCGTTCGCCCATGTACCTGACGGCGCTGCTGACTTTCTGACTGCAGGATTTCAGCCATAAAGTCTGGTCTATCATACAGCATATTCAAACAACCGTTTAGACATGGTTTGATAGCTTTCTTGCACATAATTTCTAGAGCAGACTGTACTCGAGAGATTCCTGAAGTGCGGCCTGTAGCGCTTCCTCATCGGCGTCCCGGTGGGCCGAGCCCTTGACAGTGGCGACGTCCTGGCGGTGCGGAGCCATGAGATCACTGGAGTTCCAAGTGTGAATCAGACGGTCGCCGCAAGCTCCGTTCCTGTGGAACATGATATCACGTATTGCGGGCTCATGCCAAGGCGGTACGAACATTCGAAGACGATTCTCAGTAACACACGTTTTGTTTTAGAAGCTCTAAAATCTAGTCTAAAAACTAGTAGTACTATTACAATAGCAGTCCTATTCCAGCTACTGTGCTCGACCGAGTAATACATGTAGTCCCTTCCGAAATAAGTGAGATTTTTTTACTTGATCAAAACAAATTTCTAGCTTTTTTTAGATAATGCCTACTTAGGTACATTAAAAAAAGGTGTAATTTTTATTTCTCATGGGGTAGAGGATTCTGACGAAAAAAATACTGAAAAAACAAAATATATTTCCCAAAGTTTTAAAATAATTATTTTGCAACTAAATTTGGCCATGTACTCAAGTTTACGGCCTCGGGCTAATGGTAACTAAATATCATACGATATTTTAAATACTAATAATTCTATTTAAATTTATAAATATTAATAGTAGCTCATTCTGTTTTTAATTTGCCCTTTCGTGGCAAAAGCGCAAATGAACACTAGGAATCAGCCTCTTAAAAGGCGCATTATTCGCCATTTAACGGAAGTTCAACTATATGTTGCGAAATAGAATTAACAGTACGATTCGTGACCATTTAAGAATACTTTAATCCTGTCAAATTCAAGAAGCAGATTGCATCACCATCCTATCTTAAATATTTTATCGCAAGATATAGCTCAAAAAGAGTACCGTGAGTTTGTTAAAGAGCGAGAAATGCCCCCTTTACATATTAAAGACTTCAAGTTGTTTACTATAGTCTATACAAGAGGCGCGCGAAAGGGTAAACATAATATTATAATATTAACTCGGAGATTTAAAAAAAGTATTAGATATTAAATGATTTTTTATGATAGTTCCCACTTAGCAAAAGAACTCTTTCGGTCAGATTCTAGAACAGCAGTAGGCTTTAAGCCTGACGAGTATTTGCTCTAGTAATTCACTGTGATACAGACAAAGGCGGTCAAGATGGAAAACTGCAAACGCTTGCAGTAGTTTAATGTCGATAGAGCGAAATAAAGGCATTTGTTCTTGTTCTCTACCGATAGCCTCGTCGACGTCGTGCGTCTAATAAACATGCAGCCTGTAACGCTAGATTAATGCGCTCAGCAGTGCCAACACACGACGCCAACCTTGTCGTCACTCTCATAATTGTCCCGGACTCCATCTCTCTCACGGCCGATTAGTCATACTTCAGCTACCGGTAGTCGAACGTTAACGACATCTGGTTGGTGGATTTAAACAGATTACGCAATCTTTGAAAAAAATCGTACTAACTAATATTAAGTTGATTTCTAATAATATCATTTTGTCTCAGAAGAAAATATTAGGTGATGTTTTTATATTAGCTGGTCTACAGGTGATATTTTTACGATATTAACCCGCAAATTACGGTACATGAACCGGTATTTTTGCTATTAGACCCTAAAGCGAAAATATTTTATACATTTCATATATGTGATCGCTTATTTCTTAAGAGGCCTGGTTGTAATCGCCATGTAGGTATCCGATACTGGAGATGATGCTTTTCCCGCGAGCAAATTGCCAAGCACCTGGGGAAAGCCCCTGTTCAAAGTAAACACCAGAAAAACACAGTCCATTCAGGACCGTCTTAATGCATACTTCCAGAATTACACGTACAGTACCACAAGTAAAAGGCCACTAACGTTACCGTAAAAATCCACTACCCCCCCCCCCGATAATAATTCTTAAGAACAACCCTGCAGCAGCAACTCGGACCAACTCGAGCACGTTCTACAGCTCACCCGAGAAGATGCCAGCCAACTGCAGTTCTTCCTGTAAGACGCCAATGACAATAGGAAGATAGTAAAGACCAGCTTTCAATCCCCACAGTCTAAGCACATGGTCCAAGAATGACAACGAGAGTCAAAGTAAGATTGACCGATGGATCGATTCTCTTGACCATAGAGAACGACACTTTGACCTTCCTGTTCTTCCTGGGTGTGGGTCATCGGGACTCTCACTTTCGGATTCCCGTCTTCAGCCCAAGTCTTCTTCCAGTTTTCACTGCAAAAGCCAACAACAATCTTCATCATGACGACTCGACTCGCACTCGCTATTACTGCACTCGCCATTTTCAACGGCTATGCTCTAGCTCAAGGGCCTCGTGGACCTGTACGTCGCGGTCTCATGACTCGTCGTAGTGACCAGTTCGGCACTGCTAACGGCAATGGCTTCGGGGGTGGAATGGGCGGAATGGGTGGAATGGGCGGAGGGGCCAACGGATTTGGCGGTGGTATGGGTGCCGGTGGGGCTGGTATCGGTCAGTTAGGGTGAGGTGCTGCGGGCTATCACCAGGTTGGCAACACCGTTGGCGGTGGCTTTGGACAACTCGGTGGTGGATTTGGAGCCAGCAATCAGCTCGGTTTCGGAGCTGGAGGCAACGGTGCTGCTATCGGTCGAGCCGGCACGACTACCAACGGGTTCATGGCTGGAGCAGGCGGTGTCGGTGCTCCCGGTGGTGGAATGGTTGGTGCTGGCGGCCCTGGTGCTCCAGGTGCTGGAATGATGGGCCCTGGTACTGGCAACGGTGCAGCTGGCAACGGCGGAGCTGGTAATGGCAGACCTGGCAACGGCGGCCCTGCAACGCCCGCTCCAACGACGCCAAATGGTGGACCAGTGTCTGGTAACGGCCTCGGAGCTCCTCAAGGTGGACCTGGTGCTGGCGATGCGGGTGCTGGTCCGGACGGCAATGGTGCCGGTCCTATGAGTGCTGGGGCCGGCCCTGTTGGTCCTGGTGCGGGCGGATTGGCAGGCCCTGGTGCCGGTGGTGCAGGAGGCTTTGGTGGTCTAAATGCCGGTGGTGCAGGAGGGTTTGCTGGGGCTGGTGGCAATAGACGTGGTCAATTTGGAGGTTTTGGTGCCGGTGGGCAGCCTGGTGGACTCGGCGGCCAATTCGGCGGAGGCATGGGCGGAGGCATGAGCGGATTTAACGGGCGTTTCGGTGGCAACGGTGGTGCAGGTGGCCTCGGTGGCTTCGGAGGAATGAGCGGTGGTGCCTTCGGCGCTGGAGGTGCCGGGGGTGCCGGAGGCTTTGGTGCTCAAGGAAGATTCGGCTCAGCTGGACAGCTTGGCGTTATGGATGGCCAAGGTGGTGACCAGTAGTAATTCTGGCTGTCAACTGTAGTTATAACCAAGTGAAATTCATTGATGTGCGAAACCAGAGTTTTCTTGCATTGACCAAGTTTTGCATCTGCTCACTTTCGATAGCAGAACCAAAATAGGCTTTAGCGTCATTGAAACTATAGAAAGTTAGTAGATAACGTAGCAGATTGCGCTATTTGAGGAGCTATTATTTATAATACCACGTATTGAATGCAGTGAAGAGATTAAAAATATTGCTAGCTGTAACGGATAATTAAATAAGATTCGTACTTAAATTCATAAGTATCATTTTGTTTTGCGTGGTCTTTTAATTTTTTTAAAGTAGTAGCATTAAACTCCGAGATTTCTAGGATAATAATATACCAAATTATTGATATTTGGGCAGTGCCCAATGGGCACATATATTCTCATAAGTCATTGTTAAACGATTTAAAACTTATAATTGGTTATAAGGCTAGACGTATGAATGCCCATCCGTTTTTTTTGCCTAGATTGAGAATAGTCATAGCATAAAACCACGCGGAAAAATGGGATGGGAAGAGGCAGGCATCGATTTGTTTTATCTGTGATCGACTTACCATTTCAAAACGGCAAATAGGGTCGATTTACAGAATATTGATGTGGATTTGGTGGTTGATCGATCCCGAGCGGTCGATTGCTGCCGTAGCTCAATTTATCAGTCAGTCTAGTTAGATCGATTCGTACTTTTTAAAGACCTTCGCTTTAATAAAACGACCTCTATTTATTATAAAATCGAGCATCAGGCTATGTGAAAAGGACAAAAGCATTGAAATGCACAATACAACGTATGCAAGTAAAACGAGCTCTTTAAATGGTGAAGAGATGTTGTGACTGAGTCATATCTAGCGCGCGTGTGGCTATGCAAAGCTTCATTTACAGCGTACCCAGAAAGAGATGTTTTCGACTGCGGGGTAAGTGATGGTGTAACAAGACTGGGTCACAAGCTCAGAAACAACTACTTCTAGAGCATAACCGAGCTGACAACAAGCGTATGAGATATAGCTCGTGATGCTGTTTCTGAGAAAACGTGCTTTCTATTCATTTAACACTTACAGATTCCACTTGCCAGTCGTGAACCTCCCTTTCAAATCAATTCTTCAGCGACTACATCAGCGTGGAATATCAGAGCATAAGTAGGTCAAGAGATATAAGTATCAGTATACAACGGACCTCAAACGTTTTGCGCATGTTCCCCCAACTTCACCGGCACATACCTGGTAGTAACAAGAGGCTTATTCTAGTTGGAATGCCAGTTGACGCATGCGACGTGAAACTCAGAGGTTTAGGTTTCCCTTCTAATATTAAAGTGCGGTTTGAGCAACCACGCAGCATCCAAACTAAAAAAAAAGTATTTATTATTCTGCCATCAAGTCCTCTGCAAGCCACGACCTTCAGCTGACACCTTGCTGAGAGTTCCTCTGCGAGCCAAGGGTTGCCAGTAGCTCAATCGCCACGCCTTCCGCGCCACCATTGCTCGTCCTTGCCGTCAGGGGTCAATAGTAATAGAGGATGTTAGCAAACTCGTATCTTACGATGCGAGAACAAAACCGTGCGCCCGCCAGTTTCTATGCACCAAAACTCGTGAAAGTGCTGTCGTATATATACGGGATTCCCCAGTAAAGTCGTAGAGAATTTTTACGCTACGAGAACATAATTGATTGTCCATATTATTGATTGGTTTTATACTCCACAACGATGTCGCCTCCGGTCGCCACGAGTTCCGCGGTGCTTAGCACCCTTGTTTCATCATCCAATGAGTTACCCGGTGCCAGCAAGATAGATGATATCCCTGGCCCCACGTATGTCAGCGAGGAGCCCGTAGCTTGTGAGCAGTCCCCTGCAAGCCAACCTACCAAGTCGTCTAAGCCAAAACGGTGGAAGTTCAGCGAGGAGCAGGACTTAATACTGTTACCGTATCGTCTTAGTCGTTGGCGACAATGGGCAGACATAGATTGTAACGAGTTAATTATTCAAATCCCAAGATTTAAGATAAACAAAGTGACGACTAGAGGATGGCTAAGCACACGATAAACATTTTAAATGAAAATTTATTTACTACTTGTCCTCAATATAGCTATCGTCCTCAGCACCGCTGCATTCGCTTCCTATACATCGTCAGAAGTGATTGCTTCCTCTGCAATTTTGTAGCGCTCTAATTCGGTAACAATAGTGTCAAGTTGCTCGACGATATCTTCTTCTTTGTCGACCTCCCGAACATCAGTAAGGAAGCCTGCCCTCGCAAGACCACTAATTATTGTCTTAGACGACAATTTCGACCAGCAAGAAGTGATCTATTCCGTCATCACAGGTCTTGACAGAGCGACCAGCGAAAACTTTTCCACATCGAGTTTTTTTCAATGGGTAGCCACTTTCCGACTCGCATACCGTATCGTCTAAGTAATAGGCGACGCTTGGTCCTAAGCGACAGACTTCTTTAGCCAATAGGATGATCTGAAAAAAACAGACGGTGAAAATTAACGCTCTGCTAATTTTAAGTATTTAAGAAACCAATTCGTTCCTGCACACTTGAATTAGGATGGCACGGCCCACCATCAATGGCACGAAAAAGAAGCGCGAACAATACAACCGAGTTCATGTTGAGTATGGCCACAAGCAAGAGATTATCATCTACTGAAAAGCAGGCCATACGCCCTAGTGAAGCTTTGGACTACTTCTACGGTACTTTGATCGGCTAGGAGCGACGATCATAGCAGCAACTTATAAGTAAATGGCGTGGTAACGATGCGAAGATAAAATCGGCTTGCAAAAGCGGGCATTCACGCCACCTCACCCTTCGTGAGCGTGGTACGGCAACAGTGCTCTCTAAAGAGGCTGAAGAAGACATTGATCTGTGGATCAACTCTCTTAGAAAGAACGGCGCGCTGGTGTCGCACACGATGATGAAACTTAAGAGTTTGGAGGTGGCAGAGGACTATGGGCTTACTGAAGATCAGTTTTCGGCGTCCCCATCGTGGATGAAGCTGTTTATGCGCCGCCATAAGCTGTCTCTACGATCCAAGACGCGCCAAGGGTAGACAACCCCTGAAGACGCAGCACAAGTCTCCAAAGAATTAAGGCTAAAGGTATTGAAATAGTTGTTGATTACAACTGTGTCTAGGTATTTAATGCAGACCAAACGGGTAGGTTCGAAATTGTATTTTTCTTATTTATTTTGTTTTCATAATATAATAACGTTTTCGCTTAATGGAGCCGTTTTTTTCGAGTACGTTCCTAAACGAACAATAACAGATAAGGGTACGAAGATGGTTTGGATTCGTTGCAGAAATAAGGACAAACAAAGGGCGAATATTTTACTTAAGCCGGGGTAGCGGCCCCCATATTTGGCTTCCAGGTCGCTCCACCGACCTGGATGCGTCAGGCGCTCTAAGAAGATACACATGATTTCTATGCTGGTGCATTTCGTTCTTTTACGGTTTATGATGATGTCCGGAAAGCGTAGTACAGCTGTACTCTCTCGATTTTCTGTTCTGGTGAACTTTGCAGTACGCGTTGCTTTGCTCGCTCAACCTGAAGCGTACTACAGGGAGGAACGGCCGCTCGGGGTCGCCAGGTGAGTCGCGAAGCAGAAGCGCGATTCGAATGCGAGCATCTTGCGCTAGTATTGCGAGTTCCATCGGTTGGAGTCAGTGCGGTTTCGTAAATGGGATGTTTACGAGAATGCTAACAAAGCTTACGATATCGCTAAAAACGGGTACAAAAAATGCAGATCGTAATTTCCTATCGGTGTTTACGAGATTGCTAACATCCTCTAGTAGCCATAAAATCACGGTGGTAGCAGTACCGGTACTACTCAAGCTTCAACAGCAGTGTACTTAGTAGTACAAATTGTATGAGCGCTTTGAAAGGTGATTGCAATATTAGTAATACTATTAGTAGTACTAAAATTACCAGTCTGGCCCACTTAAGAATCGACAGTTTGGTTTTCAAGCCATAATATTTTTCGGATTGTTTTGTTTGGGTGCTGCCATACCTCAAATAATATTAAGATTATCCTCTTTCGCGTGATATAACTGGCTGTCAATAACAGCATAAATGGTGAATGCAAAGGTTCAATTTGCGTCGACGATTTTGTGTAGCATTAGGTTTTTATCGCAGCATCTTCAACTTTTAACGGTATTAATGGACTAGGCTATCCATTTATTCCGGAGACATTTTCCTACACGTTCATATACGTCATATATGTCAAGCATACGTTGGGGCTTCATGCGACAGGTCCAAGTATATAGGTTTTTCGGACTGTTTCGATGCCACATGGAAACCCAAAACGTTTGGCCAATAATATGTTATAGACCAGTGTTTTGTGGGGAAAACTAAGGAGGGCCCTTCAGCTGGCAGCTGGGAGGACCCTCACATAAAAAATGAGACTGGTTAGACGTACCGAGCAAAATCGTATCTAAACGAAACCAAACTGCATGCGTACGTAATTTTCCCAGGTAAAATACCGCTGACTCAAAATTTAGTGATCCCATATTTATTAAAAATGACACCCCCTCTCCCCCCCTTTCACCCATCCTGGCACTTCTCAGCCTATCATTCAAAAATCACCATCTTCCAGCGCAAGTCAGTGCAGCCCAGAAGGTCAGTACAGCCCAGAAGGCATGTATATGGATTACCGACAAATTTGTTCTTTTGTGTTTCTGTTCTCCATGCAGTTATGAGTGATAGTGAGCCCGAGTTGCATGTTCCGTCGTCCACTTGGACGCCACCCCCGGTCGATGTCGAATGGCACGACAATTGAGATGATTTCAATGCGTACATTGCGCAGTATCAAACACAAACACACTAGATCTCCCGCCAACGCACATCAACGTCGGTAGCGAAGCGTAACCGCGAGATTTAGGAGCGTGCGGCGAGTCGTGCTAGTGAGGTTCTTCTTGGGCCACAAGGCGGTGACGATGGTGACGATGGTGACGTTGACGACGGAGCTGAACGCTTAATTCCGGAGGATTTTGGCAACTTCTGGATTAAGTTAGTGTGCACTCATGGCTGGAACCGGAAGAGTCGAGGGAAAGGAATTCGGAAAAGTAACTTCGAAAAGAGTACGGGATGCAAGGCGAACATCAAAGCCGCAATTTCATGGAATGGGGCCGAAGACGTCCAGCAATTTATGGTGCGGGTCACTGCCTGTAGCGTTGAGCATAACCACAAGGTGTCGAAGGCGATTTACGAGAATCATGCCTCAAATCGACGAGTGGATAACCCTGCTCTTCGTGCCTTCGTCGACGAACTCCAGGCTGCCGGATCGAAACCGAAGTTGATCTTGCAGTACCTTCGAAAGAAGACAGGTGTACCTACAAGCTCTGCTACTGTTTTCACATGTTTTCTAATATTTCTCTGATGACCGATGTAGGCAAAAACGTCATGCTACGGGATGTCCACAATATGGTGGCGAAGATGAAAGAGAAGCGAAAGGGGGGTGCTACCGTTGAGGAGCGGTTAGAAACCGTTTTGCGAGGTGTGTGTGAGAGTCGAGGAAATCGTGCGTCCGTGTTCATTGACGATGCAAATATCACACAGACAATCACGCTTCAAACAAGGCAGATGCGACGCTGATTCAAAGCTTTCCCTGAAGTTATGCTAGTCGATGCTACGCACAATACGAATGAGTCACGATACAAGCTGTTCTCTTTCATGGTGAACGATGTATATGGCCATGTGAGTATAGGTACCTTTCGCTACTCGCTCAGTGACTCTTGTACACGATGCAGCTTCGAAGTACCTCCAGTTACACAAGTGTCTTGCTTGAGTACTGGAGTTACTCTCTATGAGGTACTGGAGCTACTTCATTTGTAACTAACATATTTGCTCAACGTTCTGCATTATTAGGGCCAGTACGTTCATCACAGTCTTATGGAGAATGAAAGCGCGGAATGTCTGACAGATGCAATTCGATCCTTTAAATTTCACAACTCTTCGTGGGAGAAGGTCAATGTAATAGTCATCGACAAGGATATGGGCGAGCTTGGATTGCTGGAGAACGAATTTCCGGATGTGAAAATTATTCTCTGCCATTTCCATCTGAAGAAGTATATTCGTGCTGAAATGATGAAGCGTGAGTATGGAGGACCCTCGAGCTTTGACGAAAGCCAAGTGGAGGATGCTGTCGACATGATGAGACTTGCTGCTTCTCCGGAGGAGTACATCAAATATCTGAAGTACATGTACTTCCTGCTGGATAGAGTTCAGCTTCGATACAGCGACACTATTCCAGAGCCTAAGCACCCTTTCTTGGAATATTTCATGCGAAATTGAGACTCTATGAAGGAACGATGGGTGCTGTATGCGCGCTCTGATGTACCCCATCTGGGGAATCACACAAACAACAGGTGAAAAAAAAATGGCTTTCCGAATGCTGCTTCTAAATTAGTACTGAACTTGGGCCTTTGCTACGTTTTACCACAGACTGGAATCATCGTGGGATCACATCAAGGATATTTTAAGGGCAGACATGGCGTTGGATGAATGCGTCGATACCTTGATGTTCTTTCAAGCCGTTGCCGAGATGGAGTACGTCAAGAAGATAACTGATGTTGGTCAGATGCGCTACGAAGGTGCAGATGAAAAATTAAAAGTTCTTGCCCGTGATGTAAGTCCCTATGCGTACCGGCTAATTGAGCAGCAGAACTGGATGTCCAAGGGTAGAAAGACCGATTACGAGATAAAGGAGCTGCAACCAAGTTTGTTTTTTCTTACTGGAGACAACTGTACAAGTGTATATCACGTGGATACTTCGGTACGTGAACCAGTGGAAATTTATCTATAATCCTTATCTAATTATATATGTTTATTGAGGTGCCTTTAGCGATATCAGTGCTCGTGTGTGTTTATGCGAACAATGCTTTTACCATGCCGCCACGTCATGTATTGGCGTCTAATGAACGACAAGACTGCTATTCCTATTCACAACATCGCGTCTCGGTGGCAGTTGGTGTGCAAACTAAATCAACCAGCCGCTGAAGAAGATATCCCAGACACTAACTTTGCGTGCAAGGCTTTTCATATATGCGATTCTGCAATGGCAGCAAGGAATCATCAAGTGCTGAACGGATCCACAAAATACAAGCACGCGCTCCAACGTGGAATGAGTATTGCCGATATCATGAGCAGAAATGAAGCTCGCGTTTTCGGAGAGATGATGGTAGCACTGGAGAAATTTGAGGAGGTGATCAAGGATGATGTAGCTCCGTTTGTCGGACGCGTAGACAATCGCGTTGAACCGCTGTCTCCGGTGGCTTCGCTGCCTTTTTCGTTCGATAACAATGATTCTGGACGCGATGATACCACGAGGGCCTCCTTCTCTCTGACGGCTTCAAAGTGTGACCACAGTGATGCGTCCTTAGACGGTCAAGCTCCGACGCAGCGTGCAGTGATACCTAAGGAAACCCAAGCACATCCCGTTACAGAGCAGAAAGTGTTGGGCACCTCTGCAGTACCTCCAGTCACCGAGCCTGAAATGTTGGATACCTCTACTGTACCTCCAGTCACTGAGCAAGTATTGGGTGCTGGTATTGTACCCCCAGTCACCGAGCAAGAAGTATTGGGTACTTCTACTGTACCTTCTGTTACAGGCAATACAAGTGGAGATCGGGTGGGTGCCATTCATGGAGATACACACGGTAAGAAATCGAGTACAGCCAAGCGGGATCATCCCAGTAGTTCGTCTGACTCATCTGGATCCGTCATCGTATCGAAAAGCGCCAAAAGCAGAGGGCGCCCAAAGCTGAGAAAGAATCAAGGGAAAGCCGAGAAGCGACAGCGTGTCGCCCGCGGTAAGGAAGCTGCTTCACGACTCGTGCAAGGGACATTGGTGCCGGTTCCGAGTGTACGGAACATCGTAAAGTTTCTAGACAACGATTATACCTACGAAGCTGCGAAACGGATTCTACCCACGCTCACTATCCGGGAAGTTTCAAAGTCCAAAAAGGCGATCGCTGGTATCTACACGGACGACAAGTGCACTACTGATATTCGGTTTGTCTTCTCTCGCGAATTCGTAAAAAAGGCTCAAATGGCAATCAGGGGGTTCAGGAAAAATCTTGCAGCTGACTGTGAAGACGACAGCGTCGGCGTGCGTGTGTCACGTTTTGGAATCTTTATGCTTAAAGATATCAAGGCAGTGGATCGGTGGCACACGTGCATGGAGCTTATAGCGCAAACAGAGGATGCTATGAATTGGGCCCTAAACACCAGCGTTAAGCGCATCACAATTCCAGATGAATTGTCTGATGCAGTTGCTACCGAACCAAAAGAGCGTGAAAATGCAATCAAGCAGCTTATGCTTCGAGGCGGACGCGTGACATCGTTTGGTAGTGTACCGTATCGAGCCCTACTGACATTTTGTGGGAGTTCATGGCTTGACGACAATTGTATGGGTCACGGGATAGCGCTGCTACACTGTGAACATCCTGATGTTGGCGTCGTCAACCCTCTCTTCCTGCGTTTCCAGCTCCGAGAGCTGCAGCTTACGACTGTCAAAGCCGGCAACCCGTTCGCGAAAACAAACAAGATAGTACTGATACCGTTGCATATCGACAACAACCACTGGTGCGGTGCTGTGATCGATTTTCGGAGAGAGACTCGGATAATCACGCTCTTTGACCCGCTTCAAGCGTCGAAGTCAAAGTACAACGATATCTGTGAAGCCCAACTGAAGAGTATTTTTGGAGAAATATGTACCCTTCTGACAATCAAGCGAGAAACACGTTCACGACAGCCAGATGGATCAAGTTGCGGTGTAGCTGCCCTTATGTTTTTCGAGTGCTTCCTCAGAGGAATTCCACTGCCAGCCAAACCAACCTTACCGCTCATACGATTTT